TAGAGAATTTTCTTTCATCTTGCTTTTATCGAACAAAATATACGGAAAAATATTTTGATAGATACCTCGGAGTAATATTCAATAAACAGTAACCTTTAAAATTTTCATCGCGCAATTCTAGTACCCGCATTAAAGTTGCCAACAAAGTTACCATTAATATTATCAATTGTACATGCGAACTCGTGCACTACCGTGACGCGAATTTCTTTTGAGAGGCGAAAAGGAGAATCTAATTAGCAGTCGCGAGTCGCATCAATCTCATTTCGATTAACTAAAGTGCTAATTATGCTGATAACGTCTGGAAAAAGAGAAAATGTACGCATCACGAGTAGGCAGAATACGGTTAATGGTTGCGTACTGAGTTTTAACGGCGAGACGCGGAGTGAGAGATATTTACGTGGGAACCATATGGTTGAGCAAGGCAAAACAGTTCTTAAAATGACGCTCGTAAATTCCGCTAAACGCGCTCGTAGGAATTTATATTCTACCGTAAAGGACGACGTTGGCATCCTTCGGTGCATACGCGCGGTTATCCTGGTATGCGCCACTAACACGCTCACACCGTAAGGAAATCCTCCGTACCGGTCACTCTCCGTAACGAGAAATACTTTTAACAATTAATTTCACGGCAGAAGGGGAGAGACCGTCTAGTTTTTAGCTTAGAAAAACTGCCGCGTAAATTCACCGGAGTTTTTAATTCGTTACGTTGAGACTTAATTAGTCACCTCACGTACCTATTTTGCATATTTTAGTTTACATACTTAAGTGCAAATTTTAGAGAGTATCACGCCCACTCAATTTAAGTTCATTTAAAATAATTCATAATAATCGACGTTACCTCTGTCGAACATCGTCAATTGTTCGCGAGATATTTTAACAATACGTCGATATCAATGGTATTATTATCTTATCACGTAATTATTTTATGCATCACAATTGGTTGGACGGTTTCAATTTTTTATTTTGCAAAGAGTTTGACGGCGTTTGCTGCACACGGCGGTTTAAGATCAAAGAGATATAAACAGTTATAAATATTTTCTATTCTCCCTCTCTCCAGCGTTATTTGAATATTACAAAATGTTACCCGTAGGAATCTGTATAACGAGTACAACTCTGGTGCGTCACAACTCGCTCGATTTTACTTTACCTCATGTCCGTCGGTGGTTTTGCGCGACGCAACGCGCTCGACTTGCGGCACGGATAAAGAAACGTCCACTGTTGACCCCGTAAAGCGGAAAGCATGAATTATTAATGAAAGACTGCAACGCCCGATGGGTGGTGGAGCGGCGTATCCTGTTTAAACGGTATAGAATTAATGGACGATCGAAGAGAGAGAAAAGGAAAGGGAGAAAGCGAGAGAGAATTCCTGTTTAATACTTGGCGAGGATTAACGAGAAGATTCGTAATTGGTTTTAATTTCTCTTTATTAAATATCGTATGCAAAATACTGTTTTTGATTCTTTTTATGTGAGAGGGATAAAATGTTTTGTTTGCACTCTTGTTTTTTTTTTTTTTTTTTTTTTTTAAGTACAGCTCATCGTCAGTACAAAAAAAAGTAGAGATCTATGAGTCTCCTTTGTTTTCGTATCTAGATATCACGGTGATAAGGAATAGGACATGAATAGAATAGAATTCTCAGATATCAATAGATTAAGCAAGGATTGGTTATTTATGAGATTGAGCGCAAAGACAAGATCGTAAATAAATTTTTAATTTTCTTTTTATAAAATACAGGAGAGGAATTAGGACTTTCTAAAACGAGAAATGTGTTGGAATATTTCAATTGAGATGTTTTAGTGTTGGCATCTCGTTCACTGGTACTCTGTCGCATATGATTTTTCTTCAATACCAATTATAACTCCTGCTACCTGTCAGAGGAATTTTCTTACGGATATCTTTCTTATATAATAATGGAAATTACTTTTCGATTAAAGAATATAGAGAATGTTTTTCTCTCATTTCTTTTCATTTCTTCTACGGTCGTTCAGATACTTACTAACTCGTTAATATTAGATCGCTTCTTTTCTATCTCTTATATACGCGAGTTCTTTTTTGTGAAAGAAACGATATCAATGAAACAATGGTCACGCAACAAATGCATAATAGAAAATAGAGAAACGATTTCGAAAATGTTTTGATAGAGGTACAATGTGTAATGAACAAAAGACAGAAATATAAATTTTATTTTGTGACATAATTAATTTCCATCTAAACTTACATAGCTTATAAACTAAATTATCACGAAGAGCAGACTGGGCCATTTATATCCATCTTTGTGTTTATGCAACGTAAACTTTGGGTAAGACGCGATAGTTTCGCATGAATAGATTAATATAGGTGCTGTAATATATATTATATTAAGAGAAATGCTCGCGAGAAAACGAGAATGTGCCGGCCGATTATACGAGGAGAGACAAAAAATTACAAAGAGAAATATTTTGCATGGCAAGAGTTGATTCGCTATTTGTTTCATTGTTACTATTTCGCTTGAGCGAAGAAAAACCGATAGCCACTCAAGACGCGCTTATGTGTTCTCTTTTTTTGTTTACCGACCGGAAACGCTATGTGAAATTAATAAAGATCCGTGAACGACGACAGTATATTCATAGCGAATTTCATTTATTCCGTTTCTACACTTTTCTCTTCGTGTATCTCCGCGCGGAATTACAAGCGAATACGCGAAAAGCATGCAAATTTCACAGGAGATAACATCATAAAGAGTACGGTTTATCCAAGAGTCTAATATGACGAGTCTTTATTAATTATGAGACGATTTGCTTTTGTAATGTCCGCCCGCTTTCGTCGCAAATGGCTCCTTACAGTTTGTTGATGTTTATTATACTTTATACGTATTTACGCGACTTGAAGATATTATATTGCTAATATTTCATTACGGCAAAATATAAATACAACACGACAGATTTTCAAGGATCCACATGTGTGCGTGCGTGACATGCGCGTATATGATACGTTAAATTAATTTAATATTATCGAAATTATCACTGAATGATATTGAAGAGGTATAAATTGGATATGGACAAGTGCACGTTTAATCACGTAAAAATCGTATCACAGCTAATGCACTGATAATATAAATTGGGCAAGTATTAATTGCACAGACAAGTGCACATTTAATCACGTAAAAATCATACGAGCTAATGCAACGAAATAAACGGTGAATTAAAATGTCTCGTTATAAGTTTTCTGTCATATCGAGCGTCACATTGAGCCGATACAAATGATGCGTGGACAAGTGCGCATTTAATTACGCAAAAATCACGTAGATTAATGCGACTGATATAGACATCGAATACACACCGTTTCGTAACTTTTCGTTGTATCCGATATTTGACATCGAACCGGGCACTGTGCGGTATTCGTGTGAAACCTATCTCCCTCTATCTCTTCTTCTCTCGCGAGAAGAGCTTTCGCATTTGAAATTTTTCTCGCGCGGGTGTGTCACGGCGCGTGGTAACAGCCGACATAAAGAGTCGCGCACGCGCGACCGAGGTCGGAAAAGGATGACGACTCCATCCTGAGAGGTTACAGGTCCCCGCTCTCATTTATGATCTTATGCAACGTGCGCGCAATGTTATATTTCGCCGCGCCGCGCTGCACGCCGGTGCATATTAAACGCCCGAGCCTTATCCGATGCGGCCGCCGCCGCCGCAGAGAGCGTGATCGGTGTCTCTCCCGCATGAGTGACTTCGACAGAGTTTCATGAAAATATTATGCATCTCGATTGTATTTACCGTGTACGTTACGTTCGCGACACGAGAATACAAATATATGGAATACATGTTAATATTTATAAAAAATAAAATTTTGTAAACTAAATTCCCGTAAACTTGCAAATTAAATATTTTTTGGGATACAATTTTTGATATTTGATTTTTTAAATTTAACTTCGATTTTTGTTCGAATTAGACGGTTTTTTTTATAACATTTAATTAGCTCGTTAATTAGTTGTTTATTGTAAAAAATATGATTAGATATACTGATTAATTTTTTTTACGACTTTTTTTGAAGATTGTTTTTGCATTGATGATAATTCTATGGTTGTATTTTCTGCTGGTAATGAAAATATGAGTTGTTTTCGAATATACAAAAGTTTGCGATCGACTTTTTCTAATAAAAGTTGAATAGACGGAGGCTTAATTAACTGTCAAAGCAGACGAAAGCCGATCAAGTGGGATACACTTCGGTGATTATATTGTATCTCGTATATCATACGAAAGAGGCATGTTTGTTATATACCAAGTTGGTTTACACAACCATGTGAAATTACTATGTTAGACCCACTTACGGTTGGCTTACGTTATATCCGGATTGAGATGCTTCAACAGTTTACGTTAAATATCTCAATAATTTAGTTTCGTCTAAATCTTGGTCTCATGTTAGTTTGTATCTCAGCTTAAGCGTAAATAAATACATTCATACAAGTCAGTCGCAACTTATAATATCGATGATAACGTTCAATAATTTTTAATATTTGATTTGATTTGATTTTATCTAATTATAATGTAAAAAATAATACACACAGTGCACAAATTTAATATTCAAAATATACACTAGAAAAATGAAACGCGTTTAGAAGTGTCGACCAACGAAACATTTCAATTCCAAGAAAATTGACAAGAAAATTGCTTCAGAAATAGGGATATCATAAGAATCCATGGTATTGTTACGTGTTTTTGTTTCATGTCGATATTGATGAAAATGCTTGTAAGAAATATCATCTACGTGACTTCAACTTTGGACAAAATAAATTTCAAGCGAGTTAGCGTTGTACTGTAGACTTATCGCGCCCATATATACAGCTGCTGTAACTATTACTAAATAATATCTTCCCCAAGTAGCCGAGGCATTGTGTGTATACTCATCTATTTAATATTCGCGTGAAGATTCACATAGTTTGTGTGGCGAAATCATAAATCACAAAATTAATTTTTACAATTACATATCGCAGTTTTATTGCAAGTGATACAATTTGCTTTCAGATGTGCCTGATCCGCCGGAACGACCGCTTGTCATAAGTTACACGTCGAAAGCTGTGAATATATCGTGGGCACCTGGTGTTAATTCCCACAACACTCCAATTTCGCAGTATGTCATCTACACCCGGTAAGTCCCGTTAAATATTGACTCGCAAAAAACTCCCTTACTCAAGTTAATTCCGTTCTCGCGCTTCGAATTTACTTCGATAACATAAATATTCTATATTGGAGGCGCGCAGTTTCTTTTAAGGGAAAGAAATTAAGATATAGAAATTGACCTGTCAAATTTATTCTCCGCTTAACCTTGTCATTGTCGCAAACTTATTTTATACAAAGACGCCAAAATTAAAATGAAAAATTAACTCAATCGATTTAACAACTAGTCCTCTTTTCGTAACGTCATTTAGAAGTTACGCCGTGTGACGTCAGTCACTAAACTTTACTGTTGATTTCCGCTACTGTCGCTTTTTCGCGGAAGTTGAGCAAATTGCTACGTCGAAGTGAATTAATGTCGCTTTTTCTCGGGGAAAAACATTTTTAATAGGAAAAAATCTGAGAGATTGCGCGCGCCTATGAGATAGTTTGGTCTATATTCGAGTAGCTAGATCTCGATCCGATTATCTCACGGGTTGTACGTCGTGATAGTACCGGTTCTCGAGATCTTCTTGCGGAGCGTCGGCGGAAAAGAAGAAACGGATAAAATAAAAGGAATTACCGAGGATAAGAACCGCGGCGTCGATAAGCACCCTTTGTTCTCCGTCGCGTCTCTTGGTTCCGTTATCTCTTCCCTTTCCGCCTTTTTCTCTAGGTCGCACGGTATCCCTTGACCCTGCGACCGACTCCTACTTTTCCCGCTGCTCCGACATCTCCTATCCATTTTCCCACGAATTTTCCCGACGACGATTTTCGATACCGTCGATGAAGCCAAATTTATCAGTAGCGGTATTCGTTGTAATAAAACGAAGAATGAAAACACAAAATGTAATGCATACAAAAAAGTAGAATATGTTTGCACTATTGTATAGTATATAAACAATATAATATACAGTGAAAATTTTTCACGTACACATGTATATATGCTCGCGGGAGTTATATTCTGGGAAATTGCCGCGAATATGGAAATCGCGAATATGAAAAAGAGAGAGAAAGAAATAATATAGAAAAATTAAGATTGGATAAAAAAATACGAGAAAAAAACCTATTTATTATCCATAAGATTGGATAAAAAATACGAGAAAAAAACATATTTGTTATTTTTTATATATATTTTTCTCTTTTTATTTTATTTAAAAAATAAATATTACTTCTTAGGACCATAGTTTTGTGCGAATATTTTTCGCTTGAAAACTGCATAATTTCTTGCTAGAAACCCGAAAGCGTTGAAAATTGGAAATTCTCTTTATTCGTTATTTTATAACGATTGGTTGATATCGATCGATATTCCCTCCGCGAATAAGGGAATTTCAAGCCTTCGAATCTGAAAACTGGTTGCGAATACCGAATTGTGAATGCAGTGAGGTACATAAAGAGCGCGCGCGCATAGAGCTTCCATGTTAAGGTTCGTGCAATGTGAAGATATCGATTGTTATTGACACATTCGTCGAAGCGAACTTGAGCCATTTCGATCCGGTCGAAAGAGTTAATTTGCACGGTGTATCGTGATCGTTATCGAGCTTGCCGAGTTTCGATTTCGCCGTAGCGGAGGATCAATTTGAGAGATGGACCATGTGAGTCTTCCTCTCCAGCCTTCTGCCATATAGCATTACAACAAAAAAAAAAAAAAAAAAAAAAAAAAAAAAAAAAAAAAAAAGAAAAAAAGAAAAAAACTTGGGTCAATGCAATTTTATTATTAAATCTTCATATCTCGCCGGTCATTTAATTCGCTACGCAACGCTACGCGAAGCATCGCGGTTCTCTCGTTTCCTGGAAGGAGAACGCTCGCACGAGACTACGAGCGGATAGAATTCTTAATCAAGTTTCCATCTCTTTTCTTTTTTTCCTTCTCGTTTACGCCGAAACCTCCCCGCGTTTTCTTCCCATTCTTCCGAACGCGGAGCAGACAAAACCTCGAGAGTAGAAGTTGTAGGAAATAATATATCAATCGGTGTCGTTATGGTCGCCGAATATTGAAGTTTCGCCCCGCGGACCATTTCGCCTTACCGTTCGAGCTGGCAGGCCCTTTCAGAAAACTATCGTAATACCTCATAGAACTTGGAAAATATTAGTTTTATAATAAAGTTGGGTCGGAACTTCGTTCAGCGATGAGAGACGAAGAAAGAGAGAATTCTCGCGCGGACAGGCGTTGCACAGAGAGAGCTGTTCCGTTCAGAGATTATTAATCTTCCCGGAAATCAACCGCCGTTTTGACGAGGTGCCCCTTACAATGGCATCTCACCCGATCTTCCGGCTGGAAATGACGTCGACACGCGGCCCACACCTTCCGACCGTCGTAATCACGTCGCTATCGTGAATAATCTTTGGCAGAAATGAACAAACGTAATTTTGCATTGAAAGGTACGATTTATATATCCGTTACGTTTATTTTTGTGACACGCGGACAACTATTTGTAAAAGCATGCGCAACTTGCGAAAATCCGCTATGTACATCCATTTCGGTATTTTCCGATCTCTTTCGCGATATTTCTAGTAACCATTTGCCATGTGTGTGTCGAATTGAAAAACATTTGCGAAGCCTAAATGTTATACACGGCCAAACACGTTTTCAATTTGCCGGTGCAACGTGCATTTCGTGCAAACGGCGGGCGTATTCGGACAACATCCGGGTAAAACCTGGGCTTTTTCTCCTCCTCCTTCTCTCCCGGGTCCCCCACGTCACCGATCATTTATCTCCGTAATATCAGAAAAGTGGCTAGGAATAAATGCCGCGAGAACGCGTTTATTAGATGGGACGGACTATCGATCTTAGCGTGTTCCCCGCGGGCAGCTGATCAATTTCCCGGGATTCTTCCGCTTAATCTTCTCGCGTTTTGTTAAACGTATTAAAATGGAATTTCAATTTCGCGCAAGCCCTACTGACACAGGCAGTCGTGGTCGGTTATGATCGGCGCGGTCCCGCGACTTTTAATTACTTTTGTCTCTCTCGCGTGTGCGCTATCTCCGTTTGCTTTTCGGGGCTCGGTGCCGGATCGACTTTCATTCGTCTTTTGCGTCGCGTTGGAATAAATCGGAAGGAGACCTTTCGCAATTTCCACACGAGCGCGGAGAGCGGGCGTAAGCTAGAGGCACACCCAACGTGTATTTAACGAGCGTTAAATGAGTATTTCATCGCACGTCGCGCGAATAATAGCCTGGAAAACGTTTGAGTTTTTGCCGGACACTTTCATTAAATTCGACGATTAAATTCGAGGTTGTACAAAGGGCGACTGCGTTACTATATATTATGCACGCTATAGCTTGCGTATAAGAGTCCAGATTTGCTCGATAGGAGAAGTTGGAAGGTTAATTTTCACGGATAAACGTCATTTAAATTCGTGAATTCTATTCAGAGACTCTTGCCAGATTTATTTTCAATTTCATGAGCTGCAACTGTCTTACGCGAAATTTTTCAGAGATGAAAGAGATATATAGAGAAAGAAAAAGAGAGTAATACCCTCTCGGAAGTAATACTCTCTTTATCTAATTTAATGGAGAATCCATACTAATAATAAATATCTCTGATAATTATAAGAGAATTGTACACTTTTTTTCCTTTTTTTCTCTCTCTTTTTTTTTTCCCCGGTCTCAGAGAGAAACTAATGACGAAACGTTATCTCTTTCGCCAAAGACCGCGGATTAAACGCACCATATCAGCTCAAGTCGACCGTGAAAGTCCGGAATAAGTGAGCAGGATTAATTAAGACTGGCGCAAACGCGACCTAACATAATCGGCCGATGTTAACTCCGTGCCTTAATTCCGGGGCCGTAAACCATTCCACGGCATCGTGAAAGGTAATGCGAGATACGTGACGTCGTTGATCACGCCATCGTACATCTCGTCTCGTTCACCCCAAATCCCGGTCTTCTCTATTCGCCCATCTCAACGCGAATTTTGCAGCTGACGCCGGATTAAGGACTCGAACGTATGAAAAACATCTCGCCCCCCTCAGACGGATATAATTTCCACGTTGACCTCGACGCATTTACAGGACCACGTATACATATGTTTGGATATAACGGATTAATTTATAACCCGCACTTCCGCGCACTGTTACTTGATTAGTTTTCCGATAAACGATTAATCCGGTCGCGAGTGATATACGTACCACAATTAGCGACAACTGAAACTATGCTCCTAATATAAGATATTTTTTGACATGAATACTCGCGATATTTAATAATCTATTATTTCTCTTTAGCCCGTAATAAATGCTTTCTTATCTAATTTTACAATATGCTATTATAATGTTTACTTTACAAGATTGATTATCTTATACCTGTTTTATACTTAAATTCAACATTAAACCGTTATATGACATTTTGATGAATATAAAAGCGGTTATAATATGGGTTAAATTCCTGGGGAAAAAAACTCGTGTTTCTCGTTTCACAACAAAATGTCGGCTAGAAGTAATCGATATTCGTTCCAGTTTAAAAAAAAATGAAGGACACGCGCAGCGTTATATAAAATTGAAAATATATATAAATGTAGGAAATGTGCAAACCTTTCAAATTATATTATACTTTAATGTACTGTACGCGAGTCGAAATATAAAATGTTAAAATGCAATATAATTTAAATTTTTTACTAGTCGGCATATGCCACATACGTTTTGACGGCGATGTTTTTTGTATGCGGTGATTCAGTTTACCAGAAATATTTTTATCTAGTTTTTCTCGCAGAGCAATCAAGAATTGTGCAAAATACCGTAACATATTGGCGTAAAACAAAAATCATTCCCCCGATACAGCCACGCGAGATTATTCGCTATACTTGTTTTTTTTTCTTTTCTTTTTCGATCCGCGAGTATCAATTACGTTGTCATCGAGAAATCATCAGCTTCCGTTAGAGGCTGTCTCGTTATCAAAATCCATGGATGCATCGCGCTTTCGAGAGTAAGATTGATGTGGATGGATGAAAACGAGATTAAAAGGGAAACGTTCTGATCCTTGTCGAAAATCTCACGGGAG